GTGTGTGAGTGAGTGAGTGTGTGTATGTGTGTGTGTGTGTGTGTGTGTGTGTGTGTGTGGGTGTGTGAGTGAGAAAGTGTGTGTGTGCGTGTGTGTGTGAGTGAGTGAGCGAGTGTGTGCGTGTGTGAGTGAGTGAGTGAGTGTGTGCTTGCATGAGTGTGTGTGTGTGTGTGTGTGTGTGTGTGTGTGTGTGTGTGTGTGAGAGAGAGAGAGTGTGTGTGTGAGTGAGTGAGTGAGTGTGAGTGTGTGTGTGAGTGTGAGTGTGTGTGTGTGTATAATGTGCACATTATTAAATGATCTTCTTTTTATGTAGTACGTCAGATTATTCACTCGTTTTGTGAAGATGGTAGTTTTTGTTGAAGATCTGGGTTGAGTTGATCTCTCGTTCGCTTGTGAACATGTCAGTATTTTAATGTATATTTATACTTCTCATTTTTTCAAATATAAATCAGATGAATCCGTGAGTATGCTTCTCCGTGTCTTTATTATCACTGTGTTTGCAGCAGCTCTGAATGTGAGCTGAACTGTGAGTGTTGTGTGGATCTGTTTAAACCACGCATCTCTCTGTGGTCTCAACAAACGAGACGAGAAGCTAAAGTTCAGACGCCCCAGAAGCATGTAAAGCAGCTCATCACACGCAGATCTGAACTAGAGTTTAAACCCGAGCTGATTTCAAGACGGAAACCACAGGGCTTCTTATAGTTTTATGTAAATGAAAGTTAGAGAAGCTGTAAACCCGAACAGAGTAGTATGTGATATAGATGATTCATTGCAAACGCTACTGTGCTGTCAGACGGGGAACACTGTTTGAATGTTCAACCATTAAAGTCAAAGGAAACTTTATACTTAAAGGAAGAGTTCACCTGGAAATGATCGTTCTGTCATCATTTACTCACTCTCATGTTTCTCCTGTATGACTTTCTGTCTTCTGCAGAAACACAAGATATTTAGTGAAACATTGGAAACCAAACAACATTGGACCCCACTCACATTCATTGTTTGGAATGAATGGAAAAAAACCAAAAACAATTCAAATATGAAGAATAAGTCAAAGGTTTGGAGCGACATTTGGAGCAGGGCTTCTCCAGGTTTTGTGAAGGGAAATTTAGGATTTAAGTTTTTAAATTAAAAACGTTAAGGTCTTAAATTTAAGACCTAGTCATAAAATGTAAGGAATAAATTGAATGGAACACAATATGTCCTCTAAATGTAATTAAGAGAGAACACAATGCAACACTTTTCACTTTTGAAGATACAGCTTCCAACAGATCTCTATTAATTTTGAATTAATTTCCACAATAAAAAAACAAACAAACAAAACAAACAAAAAAAAAAATATATATATATATAATCTCTGCTCCCAAACACTAGAATACGGGAATATCTTTTACTGAAGCTTCTGATTCTTCCTCAGTGTTTCTGTCTTGTGTTCCAGTGCAAACATCTAAAAATGTTTAAATCAAGATACATTTACTAGAGATGCAAAATCACAGACGATATGAAGTCTTGTTTTAGAGAAATTCATCAAAACGAAGTGAGATAATGATCAAAAGAATGATCTTGTTTTAAGCTCGTTTAATTTTAATTAATTTCTAAGAAAACAAGACTTCATATTCTCATTTTGCATCTCCAGTAATGTATCTTTGATACATTGTGAAAATATTTTTTTTTTTATTACAACTTAATCTGTGGGCGAATGAAGACTTTTTAAGACCTGCAGAAACCCTGGGGAGTAAATGATGACAGAATTATCATTTTTGCATGATTTCTTTAAATTTCTTAAAAGGTATACTGCTTCTAAAATCCCAAATCAAGCGCACCCAAGAAACTGAAATAACAAAATCAACTGAAATGATCATCTACTGAAGGAAGTATGAATTGAGTCAATGTTAAAGCAGTTTGTGCTGAATTTACAGCAGATCTTTGTCAAGAAGAAATACATTAAAATACTGACAGGCATTTCTTTTTGTTTTAAGCGCCAACTTAAAAGTAACAGCTGAATATTTGTGTCTAGTTTGATCTCATGCCACCACCTAATTTGTTGAGATAATATCAGCCCTTGTGTGAAATCTAACCATGGCATGAATGAAGTGAAGAATGGCTGTTCCTCAGTTTCTGTATCAGCGGCTCCATCTGCTGGTGATTTAAAGAGCCCCTTCAGTCACACAGTATTGTGCAATCTGTTGTCTGTTTGCCCACAGTGTGTCCAGACCACAGCCGATGAGTTACGGACTTCGAACCTGAAGCTAAAACATCATGGAGTCCAACCTGAACAGAATGAAGCTCTGCCACATGATCCTGACGCTGCTCGCCGTCCCAGGTTGCTTTGGGCTTCCATCAGGTGAGAGTGGAGATCTTAAAAACTGTGTTTGTGAGATTAGGTATGATATTCAGACTCACTCACTGTCTGCCTGACATGTACTCTTGGTCTCTTCGTCATCTGCAGTCTTCCTCAGTAAGTCTGAGGCAAACCGGGCATTAACGCATCGTGTCCGACGGGCAAACTCCTTCCTGGAGGAGCTGAAGCTGGGCGATCTGGAGAGAGAGTGTCTTGAGGAGATCTGCTCTTATGAGGAGGCCAGAGAGATCTTCACCGTCCCCGAACAACTGGTGAGGAGAACAAGACCTTGGAAAGATCTGCTCAGACTGACGTAGTGCTTGATTCAGAGTCACTCTTAATTCAGATCATTCAAAATCAGTTCAGATCATTCAGACTGAGTCTAAATTCTGATCATTCAGAATCAGTCTCAATTCAAAGTCAGTCTCAATTCAGACCATTCAGAGTCAGTCTCAATTCAGATTATTCATAATAAATTCAGATAATACAGTCTCAGTTCAGATAAATCAGAGTCAGTCTCAATTCTGATAATTCCGAATCAGTCTTAATTCAGAGTCAGTCTCAATTCTGATCATTCTGAATCAGTCTTAATTCAGAGTCAGTCTCAATTCTGATCATTCTGAATCAGTCTTAATTCAGAGTCAGTCTTAATTCAGGTAATTCAAAGTCAGTCTCAATTCTGATCATTCAGAATCAGTCTTAATTCAGAGTCTCCCAAAAAAAAAAAAAAAAATAAATAAAAAAAAATATATATATTTATATAATCTCTGCTCCCAAACACTAGAATACGGGAATATCTTTTACTGAAGCTTCTGATTCTTCCTCAGTGTTTCTGTCTTGTGTTCCAGTGCAAACATCTAAAAATGTTTAAATCAAGATACATTTACTAGAGATGCAAAATCACAGACGATATGAAGTCTTGTTTTAGAGAAATTCATCAAAACGAAGTGAGATAATGATCAAAAGAATGATCTTGTTTTAAGCTCGTTTAATTTTAATTAATTTCTAAGAAAACAAGACTTCATATTCTCATTTTGCATCTCCAGTAATGTATCTTTGATACATTGTGAAAATATTTTTTTTTTTATTACAACTTAATCTGTGGGCGAATGAAGACTTTTTAAGACCTGCAGAAACCCTGGGGAGTAAATGATGACAGAATTATCATTTTTGCATGATTTCTTTAAATTTCTTAAAAGGTATACTGCTTCTAAAATCCCAAATCAAGCGCACCCAAGAAACTGAAATAACAAAATCAACTGAAATGATCATCTACTGAAGGAAGTATGAATTGAGTCAATGTTAAAGCAGTTTGTGCTGAATTTACAGCAGATCTTTGTCAAGAAGAAATACATTAAAATACTGACAGGCATTTCTTTTTGTTTTAAGCGCCAACTTAAAAGTAACAGCTGAATATTTGTGTCTAGTTTGATCTCATGCCACCACCTAATTTGTTGAGATAATATCAGCCCTTGTGTGAAATCTAACCATGGCATGAATGAAGTGAAGAATGGCTGTTCCTCAGTTTCTGTATCAGCGGCTCCATCTGCTGGTGATTTAAAGAGCCCCTTCAGTCACACAGTATTGTGCAATCTGTTGTCTGTTTGCCCACAGTGTGTCCAGACCACAGCCGATGAGTTACGGACTTCGAACCTGAAGCTAAAACATCATGGAGTCCAACCTGAACAGAATGAAGCTCTGCCACATGATCCTGACGCTGCTCGCCGTCCCAGGTTGCTTTGGGCTTCCATCAGGTGAGAGTGGAGATCTTAAAAACTGTGTTTGTGAGATTAGGTATGATATTCAGACTCACTCACTGTCTGCCTGACATGTACTCTTGGTCTCTTCGTCATCTGCAGTCTTCCTCAGTAAGTCTGAGGCAAACCGGGCATTAACGCATCGTGTCCGACGGGCAAACTCCTTCCTGGAGGAGCTGAAGCTGGGCGATCTGGAGAGAGAGTGTCTTGAGGAGATCTGCTCTTATGAGGAGGCCAGAGAGATCTTCACCGTCCCCGAACAACTGGTGAGGAGAACAAGACCTTGGAAAGATCTGCTCAGACTGACGTAGTGCTTGATTCAGAGTCACTCTTAATTCAGATCATTCAAAATCAGTTCAGATCATTCAGACTGAGTCTAAATTCTGATCATTCAGAATCAGTCTCAATTCAAAGTCAGTCTCAATTCAGACCATTCAGAGTCAGTCTCAATTCAGATTATTCATAATAAATTCAGATAATACAGTCTCAGTTCAGATAAATCAGAGTCAGTCTCAATTCTGATAATTCCGAATCAGTCTTAATTCAGAGTCAGTCTCAATTCTGATCATTCTGAATCAGTCTTAATTCAGAGTCAGTCTCAATTCTGATCATTCCGAATCAATCTTAATTCAGAGTCAGTCTTAATTCAGGTCATTCAGAATCAGTCTTAATTCAGAGTCAGTCTTAATTCAGGTAATTCAAAGTCAGTCTCAATTCTGATCATTCAGAATCAGTCTTAATTCAGATTATTCAGAATCAATTCAGATAATAGTCTCAGTTCAGATAATTCATAGTAAGTCTCAATTCAGAGTCAGTCTCAGTTCAGATAATTCAGAATCAATTCAGATAATACAGTCTCAGTTCAGATAATTCAGAGTCAGTCTCAATTCAGATAATTCAGAATCAATTCAGATAATACAGTCTCAGTTCAGATAATTCAGAGTCAGTCTCAATTCAGATAATTCAGAATCAATTCAGATAATACAGTCTCAGTTCAAATAATTCATAGTATGTCTCAATTCAGATTCAGTCTCAATTCAGAAAATTCTGAATCAATTCAGATAATACAGTCTTAGTTCAGATAATTCATAGTAAGTCTCAATTCAGAGTCAGTCTCAATTCAGAGTTAGTCTCAATTCAGATTCCGTCTCAATTCAGATAATTCTGAATCAATTCAGATAATTCAGAGTCAGTATCAACTCAGATCATTCAGAATCAATTCAGAAAATACCGTCTAAGTTCAGATAATTCAGAGTCAGTCTGAGTTCAGATAATTCAGAGTCAGTCTCAATTCTGATAATTCAGTGTCAATCTCAATTCAGACCATTCAGACTCAGTCTTAATTCAGAGTCAGACCATTCAGACCCAGTCTTAATTCAGAGTCAGATCATTCAAAATCAGTCTTACTTCGGGTAATTCAAAGTCAGTCTCAATTCAGACCATTCAGAGTCAGTCTTAATTTAGATAATTCGGAATGTGTCTCAATTCATAGTCAGTCTCACTTCAGATAATTCAGAGTCAGTCTCAATTCAGATCATTCAGAATCAGCCATACAGTGAGACACTCATGACATTAATGAAAGTTTGTGTTTGAATTTGAGACAAAACAACCAACAACAGCACAGAAATAGCAGAAGAGCTGAAGGAAATCTAACAGAACTCTCCTGTTGTGTTTCAGGAAGATTTCTGGAAGAGATACACAGGTAAACCAGCAACTTCAAGTGCAGCTTACACACATCTGATAAAAACAGATTGCATTTCATGAATAGTTAGACGCTAAAATACTTTTAAAAACTCTTGAACAGGTTTTTAAATGTGTGCACATAAATTTTTAAGTAAGTTTAATTGAAACTGCATAGCAACGAGCTAACAACCATGCAGAACTCCTTAGACTGTATAGAAACGCCCTGACAGCCACCGACAGTGAGTTTGCACAAACCCCATCCTCAGATCTTGTGCATCTGTGTAAATCTTGTTTGCCTCTTCAGAGGTGGATCATTGTCAGGGCGGACCGTGTCAGAACGGAGCCACGTGTGTGGATCAGATAAACGCATACATCTGCATCTGTCCAGTGACCTTTGAGGGGCGACACTGCGACAAAGGTAACACACAATCATCACAACACAACACAAAGATCTGCAGAATGAGCATCTACTCGTGTTAATCCTGTCATACGTCCCACAGAAATATTTCCACCCACTTCCTACGGATGTTTGTACAGGAACGGCGGCTGCGAGCACTTCTGTGTAGAAATCAGTGATTCGACCCATCGCTGTGATTGTGCACCTGGATACACACTACACATAGACAACAGCAGCTGCGTGCCGCAGGGTCAGTCCACAAACACAGACATCTTAGCCATCGGCTCTGTTCAAAATACTGTCCACTGCCTAGACTAGAAGTATGTGAAACAGTTTGCATTATACAGCAACATACACACACAGCGGCGTCCAGTTATCAGCTCAGAAATAATGGGATTTAGCATTTGCCTGAAAGTTCAGTGTCTGAACTTTTTGCAGTGTGACCTAATAAATCAGGAAAAACCAATGCCGCTATCACTGCTGATTAGAAATGGAGGGTCGAGTCAGGCACATTGCATTGTGGGATGCAGTGTGTCACTCACTGTACTGTGGGTCTATATTGCACACATTGACATGTAGTTGGTCATGCATACAGAAAATTCAAATACTGAGCATTAAATATGCTGCAAACTGCAGAACTCGCAGATGTCATATGTTAGTAGGCCTATGCTATTCCCAACATTTGCTGCATCTGAAATCACACACTAACCGAGTATGAATTAATGAACTTACCCCACCATTAAAAAAGTACGTTTTTCACCTACTATATTATAGGGACACAAGGAGTGTCTCGGAGATGATTCATATTTTGAGCTCCAATGCACATCAGTGTGCTGGATATGTTTACATTTATGCATTTGGCAGATGCTTTTATCCAAAACGACTTACACTGCATTGAAGGTATACATGTGATCAGTTCACGCATTCCCTGGGAATCGAACCCATGACGTTGACATGGATAGCGCCATGATCTACTGATTGAGCTAGAGGAATGTTCAGGTGGATAACTCTAAAATCATTGTGTTTGTGCTGTAAGGCCATATTGCATTCAGAATCAGCCATACAGTGAGACACTCATGACATTAATGAAAGTTTGTGTTTGAATTTGAGACAAAACAACCAACAACAGCACAGAAATAGCAGAAGAGCTGAAGGAAATCTAACAGAACTCTCCTGTTGTGTTTCAGGAAGATTTCTGGAAGAGATACACAGGTAAACCAGCAACTTCAAGTGCAGCTTACACACATCTGATAAAAACAGATTGCATTTCATGAATAGTTAGACGCTAAAATACTTTAAAAAACTCTTGAACAGGTTTTTAAATGTGTGCACATAAATTTTTAAGTAAGTTTAATTGAAACTGCATAGCAACGAGCTAACAACCATGCAGAACTCCTTAGACTGTATAGAAATGCCCTGACAGCCACCGACAGTGAGTTTGCACAAACCCCATCCTCAGATCTTGTGCATCTGTGTAAAT